GAGGGGGGAAGAGGAAGAAGGCAGGAGCTAGTACACATGGGGAGCCAGATTTCAAGCCACCTCTCTACACATATCGGTTCCCGCGGAGCTGCCTGCTCCCCACAACTGCTGCCTCTCTATCAGAGGTAGCAGTGCAGGGTGGGGTGGGCAAGCAGGAACACTGGCTTCGCGGAGCTATTGCCTCCCCCCCTCCCAGCTGCGTCCCCTCTCTCCCTGTATCAAAATAATTTAAAGATTATTAATATTTTGTATGTTTTTCTACGTCTTCAAATATATCGATTACAAATTGATCATCAATTCAACGTGTACTGTGCTCTATTTTTCCATTACAAATATTTGCACTGTAAAAAAGTATTTTTTCAGTTCAGATCATACAAGTACTGTAGTGCAATCTGTATTGTGCAAATTTAACTTACAAAGGTAGAATTATTATTTTTATATAACTTCACTCAAAAACAAAACAAAAAAAATGCGAAACTTTAGTGCTTACAAGTCGAAGCATACAAATATTTAGCATACCTGGTACATAAATACCTTGTAATTCTGGCTAGAAAAGTTCCATGCAAATGTCTGTTTTTACTTCCAAGTATCACTTTAAATAAGAAGTGTGCAGCATTATCTCCTGTACACAAACTTTTTTGTCTTAAGCAATTAGCTGAGTAAGTAGCACTGAATGGGCTAGTATGAGGTCAATTGAAAAATTCTATTTCATTTATATTTTTGATTTTTGTTTTTGTTTTTGAGTGAAGTTATTTCTGAATGGGCTAGTATGAGGTCAATTGAAAAATTCTATTTCATTTATATTTTTGATTACAAATATTTGCACTGTAAAAACACAAATTGAACACTGTAGATTTTGTATTGTTTTAATTGAAATCAACATACTCGAATATTTTAAAATTGCCAATATAATAAATTTAAACCAACGTGTTTGAGAAGCTTCCACTTAAGGCAAAGACTGGTGCATATTCATTACCTTTTGAAGAAATGACAGACTAATTTACAAGCTTGTCTGGTCCAGTGGGCTAATGAATGTTACAAGGCTGGGACTCAGGGATATTCAGATGTCACCCTGTATCTATCCACAGATGGCAGGGCATATCATTCATGTGCTCAGCTGAGAGAGACTTCACATGAATGATCAGAGCCCAGAAAGGTTTGCATTCATCACCAAAGCAAATGGAAAAGGCATCGCAGGCTGGAGGGGATATAGCAGTACCGAATGCACCCTGGGGAATGTCACAACAGGATACTGCATGAAATACTTACGGGAAAATATTAGTCCTTCAAAACTGAAATAGGGATTTTATTAAAGCTAGTACATTTCTTAACTATACAACCTACTGAGGCACCCCAATTCTGCTCAGTGGAGCACCACTTTAGCATCTTACCAAGAGCACAAAAGGTACAATTTGCACCTGTCTTAGTGAAGAGTTCTGACCTACTGAGACCACAGATCTTAAAATGCAATCCCCCTAGACATACATTGTGTGTACAATAATTAAAAATGAATGCAGCCACATGCTGCAATGAAAATTTTGGGACTTGTGTTTGGCCAACAACCTGTAGTTGGACCAAATCTACTTCATCATTTCTTTAAGGATGCACTTTGAACATCATTTCAGTCCTCACCTGTCTCTGTCGAACTTGCTCATCAATCCTCTTAGACACTTCTGCAGTCTTGGCAAACATGAGCACACCAGAAGTCATGCGATCAAGCCGGTGAATAGTGTGCAACTCCTTCAGGTTATGCTCTTTGCCCAAAATGAAGATGACTGTATTGTGTCGAAATCTGCCACATGGGTGTACTGGTAAAGATGAGGGCTTGTCCACAACCACCATCTCGTCATTGTCTACCAAAATTTGGATAGGCTGAGCAGTGACTGGAGGCTCATGGCGATGCACTGTATTCCTCAGAAAATCGTTATTCTATAACCAAAATAGATTAGAAGAGATACAATTTCCTCAAACATCAATTTGAGAGAAATAAGGGATCCAAACCCCACATCCAGAACAAAGTGAAACCCTACATCAAGAAGCCAACTAAAACTGCACTGAAAAATAAAAACGTATTATAATTTAGCATACTGGTTCATCAAAGCTCATCTCAATAAGACTCTCATGCCTATTATTTTCTTAGGCAAGGGGAAGACTCATAATGCAAAAGTCAGAGCCATCCGTAGAATGTATGGGGCCCTACACAGTACTATTAAATTGGTGCCCTATACCCGATGGCAGACAGGAGGAGGAGGATTTTTTAAGAGATGTGATTTTATAGTTTAAGCAACAATAATGAATTTTTTTTAAACGCAATTTTTAAACTAAGGCCCTGTCCTAAATTCAGAAACAGACAGGGGTTGGAAAATTATTTCATTACCACTTGAATTAGTTCTGCTAATTGGTATGACAGCTTTTTCACTTTTAAGTTAATTAGACCCTCTCCAAGAAAAGCCACAGGAGAGGGATAAGGTGAAGATGGGTGAGTATTAAGATTCAGTGGTGCCCCAAATATTTGGGCGTGCCAAGCAACTGGGATTCTGTACATGGGTTAGGACAGTATCAGAGGCAGCAAGGGGGGCAAAAGGCCCCCCCCAGCAAAAGGCCACTTGTGGGTAATGCTGCCTAAAGGGGATACATTTCTCCCTGACTCCTGCAGGTAAGTTACCTTTGCCCTGAAAGCCACATTAATTGAGCTAAAACTTAAAACACAACAAATAGTCTGGTAGCACTTTAAAAACATTTTTGTTTAAAAAAAAAATGCCGGTACTAGGGTTGCCAGATGGCAAAGTTGTCCTGGGGGACATGCCAGGAAAAAACCACTGGGGCCGAAATGCGGCTGCAGACCCTTTAAATTGCTGTGTGTCCTGAGCAGGCTTCTGTCTGGCATGGCGTGAGTGCTCCCGGGGCCGGCTGGGGCTGTGCTGGGTGAAAACTGCAAATGCACCCAAAGGTGACAGTACGCCATAGTGATGCATACCATCACAAAAAAACCGTCAAAAAAAAAAAAAGAAGCACTGACTATTCAAATATGGTTGTCACCAAATTATTTTTGTTACTTTATGATCAGAAAAAGAGCCATAACAACATGTTCGAGAACTAGGTTCTTTATGTAGGCTATTCTCATCCTTACTCTAGGTCACTGCAAATCAGCTACATACATTTCAAAAGATCACTTTAATTAGCTGGGCTTTGCAATCTAGCTAGGGGGTTTGGGATTCTACTTGATCTTGATTTCTTCTATAGCAGGAAACATGACACCTTTTTCTCCATCCACCAGGAGCCAGGCAATGAAGCTGCATCTGCAGTAATCTTTAACCTCCATGGATACTCGTTAAGGAATCTCCAAGTTACTGTTTTGTTACAAACCAATTCCACAAGCCAAATATATAGAGAAGGATTCACAAGTTTCTCATGCAGATAGTTTAAATTGTGATACTGGATGGCTGGGACATTATCAACCAACCAAATAATGAACGTGCCAATGGTTCTTGATATTTGTATAGAATCTGTTGTTAGTACTCTGTATGGTTCTTGATATTTGTATAGAATCTGTTGTTAGTACTCAACCATTCGTTTGCACTAGGAAAGGCAATCAGCCTCATTTAACTATTTAGTCTTTAAGGTGCTAACAGACTATTTGTTGTTCAATTTTTCCTGCTACAGATTGACTCCACTTTTACTTTGAAACTCATCTACTCACTGCCTCTTTCTTCCTCCTCCTCCCATATATTTGTTCTTTCCCCATTTATTCTTGGTTCTGGACATCTGACACTCAGATCATCTGAAGAAGTGGGCTGTGCCCAGGAAAGCTCATGCTACCATCTACATGCCTTGTTAATCTTTAAAGTGCTACCAGACTTTGTTGTTGAAGTTCTTCCTCTTAGAGAGCGGCAGCCGTGAGCCGCCCAGTGGGCAGGGCTGTGCCCCACAGAGGCAGCAGGAAGGCGAGCGCGAAGATGACTGAAGGGCCAGGTAGGGGAGCTGCACGCGGGAAGACGTCTCTCTTCAGCTCATGCTACCATCTACATGCCTTGTTAATCTTTAAAGTGCTACCAGACTTTGTTGTTGAAGTTCTTCCTCTTAGAGAGCGGCAGCCGTGAGCCGCCCAGTGGGCAGGGCTGTGCCCCACAGAGGCAGCAGGAAGGCGAGCGCGAAGATGACTGAAGGGCCAGGTAGGGGAGCTGCACGCGGGAAGACGTCTCTCTTCCAAGGGGGGGGGGGGGGGGAGAGGGGTTCGCCCCCCCGCCCG